GCGGGTCCGGGCGTGGGCACGTGGCCACCCATAACCCCCGCCGTGTGCCCCTGCGGTTTCCGTGGAGCAGCACTTGCCCCGCAAAAAAAATAAAATAAAAAATAAAGTGCCTGTTGGTTGAGGCTATACGGGGGACCTTTGTCTTTGTGTCGGTGGGCGCGTGCGTGCGGGCACGCCGCGAACACAACGGTGGTGCCTGCGACTCGGCATCCGTGTTTGAGAAACGCAGGAAATTAATGACGGCGATGTTCATCAAATAGGAACGGCGCGGGAGGGGCGCAGTGGGTAGGCGGATGTTGGGGAGGGGGTAAGGGGGGGAGTGGGTAGGGAGACGTGGGGGGGGGGGTAAGGGGGGGTGGGTAGGGGGACGTGGGGGGTAAGGGAGTGGGTAGGGGGATGTGAAGGGGGAGTAGGTAGGGAGACGTGGGGGGGTAAGGAGGGTGAGTGGGTAGGGAGACGTGGGGGGGGGTAAGGGGGGAGTAGGTAGGGAGACGTGGGGGGGGGCTAAGGGGGGAGTGGGTAGGGAGACGTGGGGGGGGTAAGGAGTGGAGGAGGGGGGGAGGGGCACGCCACCCAGCTTAACGCGTTACTTCACCAGCGCACACTTTGAGACAATCCTGAAGGCGGTGTGAAGGATTAATTGCTGGCGACTGGGATCGATGGGGGATGGTTCTGCGTGACCCCAGCATGCGGGGGGGGGTGTGGGTGTGGCGGTGGGGGGTGAGGGGTGCTTCAACGTCATTGCCATCACCCTGTGTCGGGCTGACCAACTGGGGGACGTCTGCAACGCAACGCCTGTGGTGGTAACAATCTGGGAAGGTCACACTGATGCGCACGCAATGCAGTGGCGCCCAGAGGTCAGGCGCCAAGGGGGCACGAGAAGCGCTCTCACGCCAGCCGGCATTGGCGGTGGTGGTGGCAGTGGTTGTTGAGACGTCCGGGAGCGGTGGTGCAGTGGTTAGCGCTGCGCTGCGCTATGAACTTGGCGACCGGGGTTCGTTTCCCGCTCACGGCCAACACCACCAGTGACGATTGTCTGAACCGGTTCAGGGCCTCCCCTAGGTCGATTCGGCCTCTAATGAGTACCTGGTGCGTTGTGTAAACATCGCCACTGGGGAGACAAAGGCGGCCGGGCGTGCTGCTGGCCACCCACCCCCTCGTGTGCCGTGCAGGCCTTCATAGGTGCTCGCTAACAGCACTTGCCCCTAGAGTCTGTTAAGGCTACACGTGGGATCTTTGTCTTTTGTTGAGACGTCACGGGGACCGCAGCAGTGGCATCAGAAGGAAGGAAGCCATGGCCGAGATGTTTGACGGCATCAGCGGCAATGGCCGTGTTGACCTCCTGACCTTGACCCGAGTCCCGCTGACCTCTGAGTCTCACTGACCTCTGAATCCTCCTGACCCGAGTCCCACTGACCTCTGAGTCTCACTGACCTCTGAATCCTCCTGACCCGAGTCCCACTGACATCTGAGTCCCACCGAGTCGCACTGACCTCTGAGTCTCACTGACCTCTGAGTCCCACTGACCTCTGAATCCTCCTGACCCCAGTCCCACTGACCTCTGAGTCTCACTGACCTCTGAGTCTCACTGACCTCTGAATCCTCCTGACCCGAGTCCCACTGACCCCTGAGTCCCACTGACCTCTGAATCCTCCTGACCCGAGTCCCACTGACCCCTGAGTCTCACTGACCTCTGAATCCTCCTGACCCGAGTCCCACTGACCCCTGAGTCCCACCGAGTCGCAAGGCAGAGTCCACGCGAGCTTCTGCTCAAGCGAGCGTCGAGGCATTGGCGCTCATCTTCCAGTGGTTGGGAAATTCCACATTGCTATGGCGGCGGTGGGAGTCTCTCCACAGGACGAACCGCTGTTGACCTCCACGCACAAGCGGCGGTAGTCGTTTTATCGACCCCGGAAGGATGACGACGATGGGCTGGATCAACCCCCTCCCTTCCCTCCGCGAGCCGCTCGCTCTGCTGCTGAGTGGCCATGCGGGGGGCCCCGGATTCGTGGGGAGCTGCGCCTGCTCCACCTGGCGGGTGGGCGGGGGTCGGTGGGGGGCTGGCCCCGTGAGCCCCAAGGGGTTTAAATCGCTCTCAGTTGGGGGGGGGGGGGGTGGGGGATGCACGGGGCTGGCTGCTGCTGCCGCCGCCGCTGCTCGGGTCCATCAGCATTAGCGATGAGACGTCCCCCCTCCCTCCCATTCAGCCGCAAATCACTGTCGTTCTGATGCAAAGCCCGGGACACTGAATTGACTGCGCGGAATATGGGGCAATTTCAGTAATTGCAGAGGCAGGTCCAGTTGTTGTATGTGTGCTGTGTGTGTGCTGTGTGTGTGCTGTGTGTGTGCTGTGTGTGTGCTGTGTGTGTGTGTGTGCTTTTTTTTCTTTCCCTATTGTGCACGAAACGGGGCACTGGCCGCCCGGATTCTGCTCAGGGTAATGCGGCAGTGGCGGCAGTGGCGGCAGTGGCGGCAGTGGGGGAGGAGGAGGAGGAGGAGGCGGCTCCGGCTAATTTGATGAGAGCGATGGGGGCATCCACCCCGCCCGCGCTCCGTGATCACTGCCAAAATCCGTTTGACCTCTGACCCCCCCCCGTCTCCCGAGAGAGAGAAGGGGCTGGGGCTGGGGCTGGGCTGGGTGGAGATTTTCGGCGGAGCGTAATGTTCTTGGCACGCGCGCCAGAGAGGGTAGCAGAATGCCACAGCTTTGGTACCGACTCTCCCCCCCCCGTCCCCACTGAACGTCCCCACTTGGTCCTTGAGCCGTTGGACCCACAAACATTCCTTTAGCGAGGGGGGTGGAGGGGAGATGGTGGGGTTACCACCCTGGGTGACAAACGCTATCAATGATTTTCCAGGAGCTGACTATCTCGAGATGGCAGCGGTGAGTGATAGCAAGGTCTACGTCGTAGCTTTGCTGACAAACGCCTTCATTCAGGAAGGGTAGCCGCAGGAATGAAAGCAGCCGAATGAGTCACGCTGCCGTGCAGCAAAAACAACTGGTTGTGCTGTACTTCTATGCCGCCTCGTCTACACTCACCGCCTTCACCCCAACTCGCAATGGCCAACGGAGTGAAGTATGGTCAAAACAAACGTCCCCACGATCCGCACCGCGACGTGCATTAGGAGGGGCCATCTCATCCAGCAGTGGATCGTACCACTAAAAGACAAATTCAGATTTATTTATTTTGGTTTTAATACGTTTCTAATTTACCAGGTAAAAGCCCAGTGAGCTATGTAGCTATTTTTCAGAAGCGACCTGGAAATCGCAAATGAGAGCTCAAACAAAGTGGCTTATCATCATCATCATCGCGTGGAAATTCATAGCAGCCAAATACTCTCTAAACGCGTGAAGTCGTTTCTGAATGTGTAGGGAAAAACCAGGGGACCCGGAGAAAAATCCACGCCATCACGGGGAGAGAGAGACACACAAACTCAAAATACACACAACAGGCGTCAGGGTCGGGATCGAACCCACGACCTCCTGTATACCAGGCGAGGTACTTAACATCTCCTAGCCACCGTGATGATGAGAGAGACACGCAAACTCCAAATATACAGCAGCAGGCATTAGGGTCGGGATCGAACCCACAACCTCCTGTATATCAGGCGAGTAGTTAACATCTCCTAGTCACCGTGATGATGATGAGAGAGAGAGAAACACAATCTCCAAATACACAGTAGGCGTCTGGGTCGGGATCGAACCCACGACCTCCTGTATACCAGGCGAAGTAGTTAACATCTCCTAGTCACCGTGATGATGATGAGAGAGAGAGACACGCAAACTCCAAATATACAGCAGGTGTCAGCGTCGGGATTGAACCCACGACCTCCTGTGTACCAGGCGAGGTAGTTAACATCTCCTAGACACCGTGATGATGATGAGAGAGAGACACACAAACTCCAAATATACAGCAGCAGGCGTCAGGGTCGGGATCGAACTCACGACCTCCTGTATACCAGGCGAGGTAGTTAACATCTCCTCGCCACCGTGATGATGATGAGAGAGAGACACACAAACTCCAAATACACAGCAGGTGTCAGGGTCAGGATTGAACCCACGACCTCCTGTATACCAGGCCAGGTAGTTAACATCTCCTAGCCACCGTAATGATGAGAGAGAGAGAGACACGCAGACTCCAAATATACAGCAGGTGTCAGGGTCGGGATTGAACCTACGACCTCCTGTATAACAGGCGAGGCAGTTAACACCTCATAGCCACCGTGATGATGATGAGAGAGAGAAACACAAACTCCAAATACACTGCAGGCGTCAGGGTCGGGATTGAACCCACGACCTCCTGTATACCAGGCGAGGTAGTTAACATCTGGCCACCGCGGTGCCCAACTCACCGGGTGAGCGAGCCGAATCATCATCAGTGCACCGCTAGATGCTCACACACCACGTGACAATGTAATTTGTTTGGTTTGCGTCAGTTGGTGGAGGGTTTTACAACACAAGCTTGGTCACATCACTGCACAGCCTAACCTAGATGTCAACGACGAATCGTAACAACTAACGAGGCAGTTACGTTGACATTAGTGACGATGGTCGTGGTGGTGGTGGTGGTGATGATGATCACTCTCGTCATCATGGTCCTGCTGGATATACTGCTGATGATGGTGACGACGATGGTGGTGATGACGACGGTGGTGGCGATGATGCAGATGACGACGATGATGAAGATGACGACAGTGACGACGATGACGATGATGGGGATGGTGACGACGATGACGACGATGATAACGACGACGAAGACGACGACGACGATGATGACATTGAGGATGACGACGATGATGACGATCACGATTATGATGACGATGACGACGACAATGGTGACAACGATGAGGATGACGACGGCGATGGTCACCACGATGACGGTGACGACGATGAGGATGATGATGATGACGACGACGACGACGACGATGGTGACGATGATGGTGACGAAGGATGACGACGACAGTGAGGACGACGCCGGCGCACGGCTGGCGGCACTGACCCTCTTGGAGAGCTGCGTGTCCATCATGAAGTTGTGCACGTGCTTCTCGGCCTTGGTGAGCTCCAGCTTGCGCGCAACGACCGCTACGACGAGCGCCGTGCAGCCGGCGCCCTGCGGCGTGCACACGGGGGGGTGGCCACGGCCCACGGACAACAACAACAACAACCACGACAACAACAACAACCACAACCACGACAACCACGACGGACGTAAGCACACGCGCACGCCAACAACTAACGTCGCGCGCACACTCGCATAGCGCACACGCACACACACACACACACAGCGCACACACACACATAGCGCACACACACACACTCATATAGCGCACACGCACACACACACACACATAGCGCACACACACACACTCATATAGCGCACACACACACACACATAGCGCACACACACACACTCATATAGCGCACACGCACACACACATAGCGCACACACACACACTCATATAGCGCACACGCACACACACATAGCGCACACACACACACACACGCACATAGCGCACATGCAGACACACACGCATAGCGCACACACTCGCATAGCGCACACACTCACATAGCGCACACGAACACTTACATAGCGCACACACTCGCATAGCACACACACGGAAACACACACATAGCGCACACACTCACTCACATAGCGCACACGTGGACACACACGCATAGCGCACACACACACTGACATAGCGCACACATTCACATAGCGCACACGCGGACACACACACATAGCACACACACAACTACTAACGTCGCACACACACACTGACATAGCGCACACATTCACATAGCGCACACGCGGACACACACACATAGCACACACACAACTACTAACGCCGCACACACACACAGATGCGTGCCCTGGCGCTCGCACACGCACACACACTCAAAGAGCGCACGCACACTGCTAACGTCGCTCAAACACCCACATAGCACACACACACACACAACTAAAGTTGCTCACACACACGCGCGTACACACACACTCACGCACCGATAGGCAATGGGGCACACACACCTGTGAACACTGGTGCACATGCCCATACACAGAGGCACGCACACGCATGTGCACACACGCGCACACATGAATACACATGAATAAACACTAAAGCACGCACTCGAACGCACATGGACACACTAACACATGTACACACTAAAAACACAGGCACACGCACACACACAACAACCGCCATTCGCCACTAAGTGGCGGTGACGTCACCACGGCGCTTGTGCCAGGCTAGGTGCACGTTAAGGCCACGTAAAGTGTCGAAAGCCCGCTGGCAGGAGGTCACGGGACAGACCCAGGTCCCATTGGTCGTCTGACTGAGATGAGTGGCTGATGCACCACCTGTGCCCCCTACTGTGCCAACTCGTGTTTTAGCCACCCGGTCCTCCGCTCGTTGTTGTGAGCGTCGGTTCTCTGCCCTCCGTTGTTGTTGGAGGGCGACTGCCTCCAACTGCCCAATAGCGTCCTTCACGAGCCTCCTCCACAGAGGCCGATCTTGACACCGCTGGTACGGGTCACCGGCAAGTCCACTCAGCTCCACGTCCTCCTGTACCACATCACTCCATCTCTTCTCTAGCTTGTGCCATTCCCATTTGCCCCCATTTATCCGGTCGAACAAAAGCTGTTTAAATCTTGACTTAAAGCCTCCGTGACTGCAGGAATTAATATTATTTGGGTCTTTCGGTAAAGTCACGTAGATAGGTTCAAAGAAAATAACAAAAACTACGATTTTTCATCATCCGCTGCGATCGAAATAAAAAGCTGTTTATGCATGCGGTGGCTGGGCATGACCCAGCCAATGCAGCCTTGCCTGCCAGAAGAGCGCACCGAAGGGATTTTGTCTTGATGTTTCAAGGATTTGACAGCTCCTCAAACAATCCAGCCTGGCTAAACCCAGACTGGATCAGAGGCAGGCTAGCCTAAATGTTTCTAACCAGTGAAGATGTTCCATTAAGAGGGTCCCCATGTTTCGCAAGCATAGAGAAGGGAGGGCATGACCGTGGTCAAATCGACCAGGCAGCTTCCACACAGCGTTACACAGCCGATGAACATATAATGCCACTCGACTGATTCGGAGTGGGACCTCTGCTGTTAAACCGGAACCGGTCATCAGCATACTACCCAGGTATGGAAAACTTTCTACTCTCTCCACAATTGCCCCATCACCAATTGGGAGTTGTGGGGGTAGAGTGTCTGATGGCACAAAATACCCAGGCAGGCGTTTAGTTTTGGTGGGGCTGATGGGAAGGCCCCACCTCTTAGTGGAATGCTCCAGATTCAGCAGTAGTGCCTCCAACTTCTCCTCTGAATGAACAGCAATCACCAGATCATCAGCATACATAACATGGTTGACCAATAGGGAGTCATCCCTTGATCGTACGCGGGAAATTCCTCCGGTACAGCCATCAAAGGCTGCAAGAACTACGTAGTCGAAATATATGTTAAAAATGTGGGAGCCAGAGGACATCCATGTCGCACTCCAAAGCGAACAGGGAATGGCTCCGACTCCTGGCCACGTAGTTTTACTTTGGCCTGTCCACTATCATGAAGGTCCTTAATTATTGTGAGCAGAGAGTCAGGGACTCCGAAAGCACGAATAACAACCCAAAGCCAGGCCTACTGATGGCATCATTGGCCTTGACCAGGTCAATAAAGCAGAGATGAAGGTCTTGTTGGAATTCCCTACACCGCTGCTGTAGCAGACGGACAGAAAATATGGCATCTGTGCAGGACCGCCCTTTACTGAAACCGCATTGGGGCTCTGCAAGCCTCTCCTCAGTGTGGCTGACAAGGCGATGTTGAATAATCCTTGCCAGGACCTTTCCCGGCACACTGAGGAGGGAGATGCCCCTGTAGTTGTTACAGTCTGTGTGGTCCCCCTTCCAAAAGAGGGGGACCACCCCTTTTACAACCCGTGGAACCCATCAAGTGATCCAGACTGTTATTATGATGTCATGTAGGGCAGTCTGCACACAAACGCCACTCTCCCTCAGCATTTTGATGGGTAGATCATCCCTGCCCGGTGATTTTCCTGGTCTCAGACTCTGGATCGCCTTCTGTACGTTCTCAACAGATGGCACTTCAACCAGCCACTCACAGTGGGTGACTTCTTCTTCCAATATTTGAGGCACCGCAGCCTCAGTAGGGTCATCCCCACTTTGCCCCATGATGTATTCCTGGCTGAGAGATTTACCCTCCCCCAAGACCTCACAGAAATGCTCAGCAAATCTGCAAACCTGTTCCTGGGGGTGGGATATTAGATCACCTTTCTTTTCCCGAATGATGGTGAAGGTGTGGCGCTGCAAGTTACTGTTTTGATGTAGTTAAAGAGTGATATGTGATCGTGGGCCACTGAGGCAGACTCCATATCCTCAGCAACCCGTGACCACCGCCCATCCTTGCAGCACCTCACGGCTCTCCGAACCTCCGAGTGAAGGCTGTGGTAAGCCTCCTGATTCTCTGACGTGGGATACTGTAGACGATGAGAGTGGGTCTGTCACTTTTTCTCAGCTAGCTGTAACACCTCCTCTGTCAGCCAGAGTTACTAGGGAGGTTTGGACCGTGCACCCAAAGCAGCCATTGCAGCTGCATGAGCTACAGTCCGAAACCTCGCCAATTCCCCCATGGCATCAGGAGGAGAGGAGAACGATGCCAACCCCAGCTGCAAGTGATGATGGAATTCTCCCTTGCAACTTGCATCAGCTAGCTGAGACCTGGCCACTGTAGTTTTGAGTGTTCACCCACCACTGGAGTGGAAGAATGGCAGGCACATCTTACAGATGACAAATCTATGGTCAGTGAGCAGATCAGCTCCATGGTATGTCCTGGTGTCAAGGACATGGGCCTGTAACCGCTGTTCCATCACTATATAGTCCAAAAGATGTTATTGCTTGGACACGATGTGCATCCATGATGTTGTGTGGATGCGCCGATGTCGGAACAGCGTGTTGGTAATTACAAGCCCATGGGCTGCACAAAAGTTGAGCAGCCTCCTACCGGTGTAAATGAGCTGATCTAGGCCCTACCTTCTGATCACTCCAGACCAGGTGCCACCATCATGACGCAATTGAGCATTAAAGTCATCCAACAGAATAACTCTATCCCGAGGGGCCACTTTAGCTAGCACCTGTGGCAGGTCATAGAAGGCATCTGACTCATTGACCTTGCCTGCATTCCTCCACTGATGTTCATTTTCGGTGGGGGCATAAGTAACCACGACCACCACTCCTCGCTTCTGGTTGATGGGAAGGTAACACCACAGTAGCCTGGGGCTTACAGGTTCCCACACTTCACCACCACGCTACTTCACCCCCTTCATTCTTTTGTTCAGACTAAGCCACTCCGTGTTGTTTGGAAGTCTCCTGCCCCGAGTAGAGGACTGTTCACCCCTCTTGGTGGCAGGAACCAGAGCCGGTCCTCCTGGCCTCCTGAATACTGCAGAGATTCAGGCGGTACCGGTCCAGTTCCCGACAGAGGAGTGGCAGCCTCTCCTCCACAGTGAGCGTTCGAACATTCCACGTGGCCACCCACAATGGCCTTTTGCTGTTTCTGGCGGAACCCCGAAGGTAAGGATTCAGGCTCCTGGTACCGCCAAATGGGGTTTAGCCAGGAGACGTCATAGATGCCTGTCCCCGCGAGGCCTCCGGCACAAGCTTGGTTCTATATTTTCACGTGGTTTCGTGGTAAATAATTGAAGGTGCCCCCATTTGGCCGCTGTGGTGGCTAAAAGTCCCATAAAAGGGTACAGCCAATTTTCGAATTAGCCTCCCCCCAATGGCATTTCTCACATCCACCACAGCGTTGCCGTCCGGCAACAGCAAGGAAGTAGATACAGATGCACTCAGATACACGCTTACACGAACACACACACTAATGAGTTCATAACGCATGCACACACATATGTGCATACTAACACACAAACGCACACACTAACACACATGCACACACACATGGACACAATACTAACAGATTCACAACACATGCACACATACAACTACTAACGTCGAGCACACACTAAAATACACACACGCACATGCACACACATGCGCACACACACACACACACGTGCGCATACTAACACGGACGCACACAACACTAACACACTGAGTTCACGACACATGAACACACACATGCACACACTAACAAACACACACACACGTGCACACACGTCCGCACACGAACGCAGACGCACACAACACTAACACACTAACGAGTTCACGACACGTGCACAGAGGTGTATCAAACAGCACAGACAGGCATTAACGGGCACATTTTAAAATAAGGATAAAAACGCGCACACATACGGCACGTCGCAATGTGTAAAACCCGCACTCCGCTTTTCAATGCGTTCCCCTCCGACGCAACTCCCCCACCGATAAAGCACGCGGCTCGTCTGCTGCCTGCGGTTGCTCTTCTTGTTGATGCAGTGTTTCGTGCGCCGCGTGCCTGTGTCCGTGCGCGCTGTGTTGATGTTCCCAATGCCTCCCTCCCCTGCACCTCCCCTCCCCTCCCCCCCATTGTAGCTGTCGTCATTAACGCCCAGAGGTCAAAGCCCGTTCACGGCCAACATTGGTGGGAAGAGACACGCGGCACCGTGCGGCGCGAGAAAGACAAAACATAAACTTAGAGGCCCGCACGGTAAAGCCATTGAGAGACCCCGTCGACAGAGATGACTACAAATGAAACTCCACTTCACGTCGCGTGCAGAGAATGCAACGCGAAGTTCTTTACGGGGGGCGGGGGGGGGGGTGGCAAAATAAAAGCGACTGATGCACTGTAAAGGTACGATAAGAATGATGCATTAAAACATGCCGTAACATTATAATGAACTTAAAGTATGATTTTTAAAAAAAACGCATAATAAACACACGATCAAAGCATCCTAATTAAAAGCCAAACAGAACAGGTATCCAGAAGAAGTTTTGTCGGGTTAGAGCGCATGAATCTAAAAGTGTTGTTAAACCTGCGACCACCCGACACGGCCAACTAGTGAGGGTTGTCACTTCAACAGAACGTGCTAATTGTTGACTAGTACAGCACACCGGTGTGTTGGAGAGTAGACCCACAGCATTTACAATGACATTTTACTCTCCCCAGCCCGGTGTGCTGCGCTAATAACTCATGGGGCACGTGTTGTTGACTGGCTGTGTTGGGTGGTGGCCGGGTTTAACGACACACATTTATATTTATGCGATCTAACCCCCCAAAAAACACCTCTATTATGGACAGCATTGGTCTCGACAGCCCCACCACTGCGTGTTAAACTAAAAAGGTGTGTTTTTGAAGATTATGTTTGAAAACATTCGCCGATTCTGATGCCCCCGGAGCCTCAGGCAGACCGCTCCCAAGGCGAGTATCACCCACAGAAACTAGAGGCTGCCTCCCCATCAGTTTTGGTGCTGGCCTTTGGCACAGCTAAACTCCGTAAACAATAAACAACAAGACAATTTTGTTGTTATTTTTCCAGGTAAGCCCCCCCTCCCCCCGCCCCCCCTGCCCCCCCTGCCCCCCTCCCCCGCCCCCCCCGAGCTTCTGTGGCTCTTTTTTACAAGAAGCGACCTGGCGATGACAAACGAGAGCTCAAACGAAGTGGCGCATCGTCATCGTGGTCATCGTTGTCATCATCGTCATCGTTGTCATCATCGTCATCATCGTCATCGTTGTCATTATCGTCATCGTTGTCATCGTCGTCATCGTTGTCATCATCATCATCATCGTCGTCATCGTTGTCATCATCGTCGTCAGCATCATCGTCGTCATCATCGTCGTCGTCATCATCGTCGTCATTATCGTCGTCATTATGGTCGTCATCGTCATCATTGTCATCATCATCGTCATCATCGTCGTCATCATCGTCGTCGTCATTATCGTCATCATCGTCATCATCGTCGTCATCATTGTCGTCGTCGTCATCATTGTCGTCGTCGTTATCGTAGTCGTCATCATCACGTGGAGAAATGCACAGCGGCCATGTACTCTAAACGGGTGATGTTCATTCTAAACGTGGAGGGGGAAAGAAGCGGAGGACCCCGGAGATTAAAAGTCCACGCGACCACGGGGAGAGAGAGAGAGAGTGGACATGCAACCTCCAAACATACAGCAGGCGTTGTCAGGGTCGGGATCGAACCCACGACCTGCGAACGAAGTTCAATGCGCATGCCGTACGGACAGACTATGGCGGCAGTGGCGTGATGATGACGGCCAAACGACTACCCCCCTCCCACCACCCCCCCCCCCAATAGGCGCTCGCTAACACCGCATGCACCCACCAGTCTGTCGGTTCGATGCTCGTTGCAGAGGATCGCTGTGTGGGAATCTGGTGGCCGCCCTGGTTATAACTGCGGTGTACAAGCCGTAATAATAGTAATACTATATATAAAACGTTTTTTTTTTATTTTAACCAGGTAAGGCCCACTGAGCTACGTAGTTATTTTTCAGAAGTGCCCCTGCTATCACAAATAACAGCTCATCCAAGTGGATTATCATCATCACGTGGACATGTCAAGCAGCCAAACGCTCTAAACGCGTGATGTTTATTCTAAATATGGAGGGAAAAACTAGAGGACCCGGAGAAAAATCCACGCGACCACGGGGAGAGAGAGAGACACTACAAACTCCAAATATACAGCAGCAGGCGTCAAGTTCGGGATCGAACCCACGACCTCCTGTGTATCAGGCGAGGTAGTTAACATATCCTAGCCACACGCCGTCTCGCTCGCAGGGGGACGTTAAAGATCCCGCGACGTCATTCACAAGAGCGGTGCCACAGTCGTCACGGCGTCACGCTCAGAATTTGGCCAAATAAAAAAATTAACTCAAGGGGGCTCGCGCACGGATCCAAATACAGACCCACACAGACCCACACACAGACCCACACACAGACCCACACACAGACCCACGCACACCCACACACGGACCCACACACGGACCCACACACAGACCCACACACAGACCCACACACAGACCCACACACGAACCCACACACGAACCCACACACGAACCCACACACGAACCCACACACGAACCCACACGGACCCACACACGGACCCACACACGAACCCACACACGAACCCACACACGGACCCACACACGGACCCATACACGGACCCACACACAGACCCACACACGAACCCACACACGAACCCACACACAGACCCACACACGAACCCACACACAGACCCACACACGAATCCACACACGAACCCACACACAAACACACACAGAGACACTCACACCGACGCAAAGACAAAAAAACCCCGTATAGCCTTAACAGACTGTTGGGGCAAGTGCTGTTAGTGAGCACTTATAAAGGCTGGCACGGCACACGAGGGGGTGGGTGGCGAACACCACGCCCGGCCGCCTTTTTCTCCCTAGTGGCGATGTTTACGCACAGACACACGCACAGACACACACACAGAGACACACAGACACAGACACACGCACACACAGACACACGCACAGACACACGCACACACAGACACACACACAGACACACAAAGACACACACAGACACACACACAGACACACGCACACACAGATACACACACAGACACACAAAGACACACACAGACACACACACAGACACACGCACACACACATACACGCGCATACACAGACACACACGCACACACGCACACACAGTAACAATCATCGCCCCCCTACTGGCAGCAGATTAATGCCCCAGCAGGTCACTCTTGCAAATGAGACTCATCCGCGGTCCCTCGAGTTCTCACTCCGCTTAAGCTAAATAAACTTGAACAGTCTGTTAAAAGGCGATACGGAAGAATCCTTGTCTCTCTGTGATTGCGCGCACGCGCGCGTGTTTGTGTGCGGGAAGCGGTGCTACGGACCTGGCCACCCGAGTTCGATGCTGGCTCACGGCCAACAACACCCAGTGACCATTATCTGAACCGGTCCTGGGCCTCCCCTAGGTCGACTCAGCCTCAAATGAGTACCCGATGCGGTGTGTAAACATCGTGTGCTGTGCCGGCCTTCATCGGTGCTCACAAACGGCACTTGCCCCAACAGGTCCGCAAGGCTATACGGGGGATCTTTGTCTTTCGGAGCTCACCATGATACCGGTGAGGAGACACACCCCACGTCCGCAGTACGTGTGGGGGACCATGTCACCGTAGCCCACGGAGAGGAACGTGATGGAGATGAGCCACATGGCTCCCAGGAAGTTGCTGGTGATGTCCTTGGTGTCATGATACCTGCAGCCGCAACCACCGGACACAACAACAACATTTATTTTTCGATACAAATAAGAATAATAATCATGATTACGATTGTTGTTCAATCATGCATTTGTCACGTGCCTTTTTTAAGCCCAGCTACCTAGGATTGGGCAAAACCTCGCCAACTTTTCACCCAGTCTCTGTGTGTCTCTACGAGTCTCTGCGAGGGTGCCACGGGGCTGGGATATGTTAACTACATCGCTTGGTATGCAGGCGGTCGTGGGTTCGATCACGAACCTGACACCATGGCGAGAAGTTAACATCGTCATCATCGCCATCGCCGTCATCATTGTCACCATCAATCACGTCCAGCAGAAGGATGATGACGTGATCCTCATCACCACCACCACCACCACCACGACCATCAGCACTAACATCAACGTAACAGCCTCGTTAGTCACGGTTCGTCGTTGACATCTGGGTTAGGCTGTGCAGTGATCTGGCCAAGCTTTTGTCGTAAAAACTCTCCTCCACCCGCACGCAGCCAAATAAATGACATTGCCACGTGGTGCGCGAGCGTCTAACCGTGCGCCAATTAATTATGATTCGGCCCACTCACCCGGTGAGTTGGGCACCACAGTGGCCAGAAATGTTCACTACCTCGCCAGGTATACAGGAAGTCGTGGGTTTGATCCCGACTCTGACGATACCTGTATATTTTGAGTTTGCGTGTCTTTCTCCCCGTGGTAGCGTCGATTTTCCTCCGGGTCCTCCGGTTTTCACCTCCAAATGTAGAATTAACATCACGCGTTTCGAGTATTCGGCCGCTATAAAATGCTCACGTGATGATGATAAGCCACTTCGTTGTGCTATCATTTGTGATAGCCAGGTCGCTCAGTGGGGCCTTAGCTGCTAAAATAAAAAAAATGGTTTTAGTTTGGAATGACATCCAGGGGACATCGCGTCGACATCACGAGCCGCGATTTTCGTTCCAGGCAGCTCCACCAGATTGCAACCGCGAGGGTCAAACGCCCGGGTCACAGCAACAACAATAACCACGAGTAATAATGCAATTATATATATATTGATGTAGTCACATACACATACACATATATATGCTAGCCTTTAGCCTGTCCAAGGACGGGTGTATTGCAGTAAAATCTGAAACTTGCAAGCGAAAAGCAGGCTGCGACGTGATGTTCATTGCATACATTCGCGTGCAATTAGTAAGGGCGCGGTGACAGTGTCTATCGCATGTAAAGGTTATAATCCCTTGTTGATCACGACGTCCTTTTTACTTTGATGGCTCAACAGCGTCACGGAGATCACGAAGATGGAAATGAGTGGACCGATGGTGGGTGACCACGGGAAGGTGGCGTAAGTACGAGGGGATAAGGAAGGGTGGGCGGGCATCTTAGTCTGGCTCCTGCGGAGGGATTCTCGGCGCTTCGAGCCTCGCCCGTCCGCCACCAATGATGTCATCTTCTTCCCTGCCCCCCCCCCCCCCCCCGATGTATGCAGATACTACTATAGAGTCAGTAGATACTACGACAGAGTCAGTAGGTACTACTTTAGAGTCAGTAGATACTACTTTAGAGTCAGTAGATACTATAGAGTCAGTAGATACTTCTAGAGTCAGTAGATACTACTGTAGAGTCATTCATAGTAGATACTACTACAGAGTCAGTAGATACTACTTTAGAGTCAGTAGATACTACTGTAGAGTCAGTAGATACTACTACAGAGTCAGTAGATACTACTGTAGAGTCAGTAAATACTACTCTAGAGTCAGTAGATACTACTATACAGTCAGTAGGTACTACTGTAGATTCAGTAGATACTACTATAGAGTCAGTAGATACTACTGTAGAGTCAGTAGATACTACTATAGAGTCAGTAGATACTACTATAGAGTCAGTAGATACTACTACAGAGTCAGTAGATACTACTGTAGAGTCAGTAGATACTATTATAAACTCAGTAGATACTACTTTAGAGTCAGTAGATACTACTGTAGAGTCAGTAGATACTACTACAGAGTCAGTAGATACTACTGTAGAGTCAGTAAATACTACTCTAGAGTCAGTAGATACTACTATACAGTCAGTAGGTACTACTGTAGATTCAGTAGATACTACTATAGTCAGTAGATACTACTGTAGTGTCAGTAGATACTACTATAGAGTCAGTAGATACTACTTTAGAGTCAGTAGATACTACTATAGAGTCAGTAGATACTACTTTAGAGTCAGTAGATACTATAGAGTCAGTAGATACTACTACAGAGTCAGTGGATACTACTGTAGAGTCAGTAGATGCTATTATAAAGTCAGTAGATACTACTGTAGCGTCAGTAGATACTACCGTAGAGTCAGTAGATACTACTATAGAGTCAGTAGATACTAGTATAGAGTCAGTAGATACTACTGTAGCTTCAGTAGATACTACCGTATAGTCAGTAAATACTACTGTAAAATCAGTAGATACTACTATAGAGTCAGTAGATACTACTGTAGAGTCAGTAGATACTACGATAGAGTCAGTAGATACTAGTGTAGAGTCAGTAGATACTACTATAGAGTCAGTAGATACTACTGTAGTGTCAGTAGATACTCCTATAGAGTCAGTAGACACTACTATCGAGTCAGTAGATACTACTATAGAGTCAGTAGATACTACTGTAGTGTCAGTAGATACTGCTATAGAGTCAGTAGACACTACTATCGAGTCAGTAGATACTGCTATAGAGTCAGTAGATACTACTATAGAGTCAGTAGATACTGCTATAGAGTCAGTAGATACTACTATAGAGTCAGTAGATACTACTATAGAGTCAGTAGATACTACTGTAGTCAGTAGATACTACTGTATAGTCAGTAGATACTACTATAGAGTCAGTAGATACTACCGTAGTGTCAGTAATACTACTGTATTGAGTCAGTAGATACTACTATCGAGTCAGTAGATCTACGTATAGATATATACTACTATTGTCAGTAGATACTACTGAGTCAGTAGATACTACTATAGAGTCAGTAGATACTACTAAGTGAGGGAAACAAGTATTTGATCCCCTGCTGTTTTTGTACGTTTGCCCACTGACAAAGAAATGATCAGTCTATAATTTTAATGGTAGGTTTATTTGAACAGTGAGAGACAGAATGACAACAAAAAAATCCAGAAAAACGCATGTCAAAAATGTTATAAATTGATTTGCATTTTAATGAGGGAAATAAGTATTTGACCCCCTCTCAATCAGAAATATTTATGGCTCCCAGGTGTCTTTTATAGAAGTAACGAGCTGAGATAGGAGCACATTCTTAAAGGGAGTGCTCCTAATCTCAGCTTGTTACCTGTATAAACGACACCTGTCCACAGAAGCAATCAATCCAAACTCTCCACCATGGCCAAGACCAAAGAGCTCTCCAAGGATATCAGGGACAAGATTGTAGACCTGCACAAGGCTGGAATGGGCTACAAGACCATTGCCAAGCAGCTTGGTGAGAAGGTGACAACAGTTGGTGCGATTATTCGCAAATGGAAGAAACACTAAATAACTGTCAATCTCCCTCGGACTGGGGCTCCATGCAAGATTTCACCTCGTGGAGTTGCAATGATCATGAGAACGGAAAGGAATCAGCCCAGAACTACACGGGAGGATCTTATCAATGATCTCAAGGCAGCTGGGACAATAGTCACTAAGAAACCAATTGGTAACACACTACGCCGTGAAGGACTGAAATCCTGCAGCGCCTGCATGGTCCCCCTGCTCAAGAAAGCACATATACATGCCCGTTTGAAGTTTGCCAATGAACATCTGAATGATTCAGAGGACAACTGGGTGAAAGTGTTGTGGTCAGATGAGACCAAAATGGAGCTCTTTGGCATCAACTCAACTCGCCGTGTTTGGAGAAGGAATGACCCCAAAAACACCATCCCCACCGTCAAACATGGAGGTGGAAACATTATTCTTTGGGGGTGTTTTTCTGCTAAGGGGACAGGACTACTTCACCGCATCAAAGGGACGATGGACGGGGCCATGTACCGTCAAATCTTGGGTGAGAACCTCCTTCCCTCAGCCAGGGCATTGAAAATGGGTCGTGGATGGGTATTCCAGCATGACAATGACCCAAAACACACGGCCAAGGCAACAAAGGAGTGGCTCAAGAAGAAGCACATTAAGGTCCTGGAGTGGCCTAGCCAGTCTCCATACCTTAATCCCATAGAAAATCTGTGGAGGGAGCAGAAGGTTCGAGTTGCCAAACGTCAGCCTCAAAACTTTAATGACTTGGAGAAGATCTGCAAATAGGAGTGGGACAAAATCCCTCCTGAGATGTGTGCAAACTTGGTGGCCGACTACAAGAAACGTCTGACCTCTGTGATTGCCAACAAGGGTTTTGCCACCAAGTACTAAGTCATGTTTTGCAGAGGGGTCAAATACGTCTCTCACTGTTAAAAGAAACCTACCATTAAAATAATAGACTGATCATTTCTTTGTCAGTGGGCAAACGTACAAAATCAGCAGGGGATCAAATACTTTTTTTCCCTCACTGTATGTAGGGTGCCTACGAAATACATTTCTTCTTGGGGGGGGGGGGGGGGGGGGGGGAGGGGTGGTGAAATCATTTTAGGTTGTGGTTGATAATTTTTGGAACCCTCTTGGGTCAACTTTTTACCCCCACATCTGGGCGGGCGGGGGGTGGGGGTCCACTTTCTATAACTTTTCGATAATGCCCTTGTGAAAGGCGAGTGTCATGTAGTTGATGGACAAACGGAACGCCGGGCTTTCAAAGTGATACAATAAGGTAGCGAGAAAGGGTGATTGTTTGACTTGCAAGGGCAGTTTAGTGATGACCCCAGACTTCAAACTGTTGCGTGGTTGGAACTCATGAACTAAACTCAAATATAGTTTACTTTAAATAGTTTAGTTTGAACACAGGATCTCAGTGGTACTACTGGCTCAATGCTGTCTAAACTGAACTTTTTTTATTTTACCAGGTAAGGCTTTTTCATAAGCGACCTGGCTGCCGCAAATG